CAGAGTATTCTCAAAATACACGCTACTTTAAGCAGTCACTTAAAACCTGCATTGATATTCTCTGTATTTTATTTCTTACCCTTGTGAAACTAAATATGCTGATCTCTATATTAAATGTGTGCTTCCTATGATACATAATTTAAAAGATAGTTAATGTGGGACATCGAGTGATGGGCTGTTATGGTACTTAAGCCAGAAATAATTTTCTAGCTGTGGTAACAGTAGAGCCAGAAAAGCAGAAAGCTTTGTCATACACAAAATTCTCATCTGCTGAAATCATACCAACCCATGAAGGAAAAAGAACTTGTCACAGCCACGGGTATTATAAGTCCAGATACTGCAGTCCCATGAAATATCAGAAAAATAGGCACTGTAAAGGAAGAATGTACATGATAAAGACTAAAATTCAAAAGCTCAATACCAGGCTCAAGGTTATGAAAGGTAGGGCCAGCAATGAATAATATATATAATGACAGATACAATTTAGCAATAAATGTATCTGAATCTTCTTCTATGGCCTATACATACCTCAGAAAAATTAACAAAAAATACACCTAGGAAAGTATTTTCAGATACCCTTCCACAATGATTTATGGGCTGTGCTTATTACAGTTTTGTTTATTTTTAAATGTTGAAATTGAAAACCTTATCTTTCTATTTTTTTTGTAAGTCAGTTAATTTCTTATATTTAAGCACAGTGCTAAGAATTACTGCAGATAACCACTCAGCACATTTGCCCAAAGCAACACATTCAGATTAAAAAGGTCTGACACAGGACAACTTTGGGAGAATCAGAAGCTATTTTCTCAACAAGCTACAAGCATTTGACAAGTGCCAGCTATTAAGGAAATCCTTGTTACTAGGCCTACATCAAAGCTCCTTTGATAAAGAACAGCTTTCACTTCAAGTAATCCATGTCACAGTAATTTTGTTATTTAATTCTACTACTGCATTACTAGCAGTCAAAACCAGAGCTGAACTCATTATTCCAAGAGATAATCTGCTCTGCAGAGGGCTCATTTTCTGCTGGAGCAGATTTTGTGTGCAGTGTTACTGGTGAAGCCCAGCCTCCTGTGAGGCCGGGTTCATCTCTGCACAGGCTTGGGAAGTTCAGCATGAACATCTCCTCCCACTTTGGATACAGAGAAAGGTCTCCTTCTTCAGTGACACCTTTTTTCATAAATACTGTCTATTTACCTTCAAGGTATTAATATTCTTGATAAAGACACAGGAACGGTTTTGTCAGAGCAGAACTTTACCCAGACACCTGTATTATGTCTGGCAGCAAACAAGGACTTGTATTTCAGAAAAAGAAGTTCCCCCTTTCAATTTCTCTTTCCTGTTTTGGACAAAGCAAGTCACATTAACAAAGGTAATGTTAAAACAACCTCCACATTCCTTCTCAGGCTCACTTCCACTCCTGGTAGGCAGGCTACTGAAGATGCAAGTGGTTCGTTGTGCTTCAATAAAATGCTCATTAAAAAAAAAAAAAAAAAAAAAAAAAAAAAGACAAAACCAACCCCCAAAACACTAGAACACACAAAACCCCAAACTCAAAGTCTTTTGGTGGTGCAGCCAGATAATTGATGAAACTTCTTAATTAAAAATACAAGGGCTAGAAATCTCTAAAACATAACTTTTCCCCAAGCTTTATGACAAGCTTTGCTGTGCTACTAACAGTCTTTATAAGGGCATGTGGAATGCAAAAGCATCTGGTTTGTTGCATTTGTTCAGTATAAAAGAAGACAAGAAGACAAGTGGGCTATGAAACACACACAAGTGCACCAAATTTGCTGAATAAATAGGTGGTGATGAGGACAAGAGTGGGGAGGAGAAGCTTTGAGGCCATTAAAGGAGCTGCCCAAGAAGATACCCTGAGGAGGGTTTGTCTGGGTTTTGTCTTTGGTAAGAATAGGAAAGCATGATTATCCATGAGTATCACAAGGTATTTGAGGGGGTGTATAGCCCTGTGCAAAATTTCTGATGGTATATCAGCAGGAGTCTGCAAAATTTTCTATGGGATGTTCACAGAAGTGGCCAAAGACAAGGAATGGGAGCATCTAGGAAGACTCAATGGAAAATGAGATGTAAGGGGACTCACATGTGAGCTGGCAGCATTCAGCACATTTGTCTTACTGAGCTCTCTGCCTGATCACAGCAACTAGTCCTATCTTTTTATGAAGCTTCTTTCTAACTTTCGTTTTGAATGTAAATATCCTGTCCCAGTGAATTTAATGCTGTGGATAATTAATCTGCTGTCAGGACTAGCCGGAGAGCAGGAGGCACACACACATGCACGGGAGGGCCAGGGTCCAGGAATGGGCATTGGATGGACAGAGGGGCCTTGGGGATTTGTGAGTGAGGATGTTCTGGTGAGTGCAGGCAGTGAGGATGGGAGTGATACCTGGGCATTTCAGTCCTGTTCAGCTGGAGCGGGGGAGCGCACTTCACTCTGAATTATTTGTCATATCTGGCAGAGTTCTGTGTGCTGTGGTAGTCTGACTGGCTGGCTCTGTTAGTGCCCTCTGTGTGTGCCACACTTGGCCAGGACACAGCATAAAAATCCTGCTGGATCCAGAGTGTATGTGAATGGATTTCAGCAGCCACAAGCAACAAACCCCAGGTACCAGAGAAGTCTGGATTCAACACCTCTCATAATATCCCTAGGCTTAATTTTTTTAAAAAATCCACTTTACAGATGACTCATGGGAATAGTAGAAGATTTAAACTTGAAAGGAATATGGCGAATTTTAGTTTATGAAAAATACTGTTACAATATGAAAGAAACTGCTGAAAGAATTGTACTTCTCTGCGCTGCTATAGTAGTCTTATAGACCTTATTTTTAATGTTTTGAATTTATTTAAAATAATTTTTAAAATAATTGCATACATATGAAACATAATTGTACTGAAAGTAGTTTATCATCCAATCAATGCCCTCTTCTGAGGAATGAAGAAGGAGAAATCTGTGCTGTGTTTTGCCCGCTAGCCAGCCTTCTGAACATATTCCACATATACCGACTACATTACAGCTTGTCTGTGATGATACTGTTTACCAGGAGAACAGCACCTCATCACAATGGTATTTAACACCTTACTCTGGGTTATATCTTACTTTGTACTTAGTTCAAAAACTAGTTCAAGCTCTTATTTCCTTTTTTAAAAAATTTTTATCTCCATTCTGTAATAGCAGCTGTTATCACTGCAGATCCCTCATTCTAGCTGTAAGGTGTGGAAGGTGTCCTTAACATGGAATAAGTGCCTGTCTTTGGGCAGTTACTTAGTTGTCATCACACACACACAGAACACAAAAATAAGCAAAAACCTACTTGAAGAAAAAATATTTTCTCTAGTAAGGTTTTACTTTGGAGTCTTGCTGAGTGTTTTTGTCTAACATCTTCAATAATTAAACTGTGCAGTTAGATAGGAGCACTGAATCATCATGGCATTATGGAAACACATCAGCTACAGGACTGAAGTTTAATGAAGACTTTTATATTAGACTATGTCTAATAATGGATTCAACATGTCACTCAGCTCATAATAAGTCATATATCCTCATACATCCATGTATGTCCATGATACTCAGAAGTATGCACAACTGTCCCCTGAAGACAGCTGGAAAGAAGGATTTAATGGCAGAAAAATACTGTCAACAACACAATTGGATCCATGGAAAATATTCTCAATCACCTGTTCTTTGCACTTTCCATCCTAAATGCTTTAAAATACTTTTCCACGTAAACATTTGAATTTCTAGAATAGTAATCAAATCCTTTATTTTTCACTTTCTCTTGACACTAGCTAACTTACCTGGAAGCACTTATTTTCCATGTCTATTTGCTAGCAAAGGGGCCAATATGACAGCTGAATATTTGCTTAAATGATCTTAGAGCAGCCTGACTGATTCCAACAAACTGGCAGGCACTTGCCATGGTTTGCTTGCAGTACAGTTGTCCCAGGCAGAAAGATGCCTCCAGTGGAACCTACATAGCAAGACAGATGTCTCCAGTTATCATTTTGATGGTATCATTTAAGGTATCACATCCTCTTGCCTGCCTGAACAGGGGCATTAAGTTTGGTTTCTTAATGCCAGGTGTCTGGTGTGTTCATGTTTTGTGTAGGATGGGGAGGAGTTTGTGCACTTCTTCAGTGACAGCTGTGTCCCCAGATTGCAGCGCAATTAAATTGCTTGGGGGGGGAAAAAAAAAAGGAAAAAAAAGTAGAATATGTGAATACGTGCTTTTCAACTTCAGTTTTGTGCGCATTGAACTTAAGATTGATGTAGCCAATACAAGCAAACAATATAAGCCTTCCAGGTAACAAGTGTCAGGATGAGAGGATGTAGTGTTAAGCTGTGCCAGGAGATGTTTAGATTGGACATTAGGTGAAATTTCATAACACAAAGGGCTACTAGACATTGGAATGGACTGCCCAGGGAGGCGGTGGAATCACCGTCTCTGGAGGTGCTTCACACTGAGCATGGCACTCAGTGCCGTGGTCTGGCTGGCAAAGCGGGGTTGGAGCCTAAATTGGACAAGGTGACCTCAGAGGGCTTTTCCAACCAAGCTGATTCTGTCATTCTGTATGCTGATGTGTGATTAAACTACAGCCTCTGCGACAGCAACTTTATCACTACAGTGAACTAGCAAAAAAAGAAAAACTCGGCATTTCTTATCTTGGCAAACGGCAGGAGCCAGCACAGCACGGCAGAACAAGCGGCAATGAACCAACCCTGAGGTTACCCCTGTGCAGGGCGGGACCCTCCGGGGACGGGGCAGCTGCCCCGGCCGGCCCCGGCTCTCGGGGCACATCTCGGCACGGCACAGCCCGCTCCCGGCTCTCGGGGCACATCTCGGCACGGCACAGCCCGCTCCCGGCTCTCGGGGCACATCTCGGCACGGCACAGCCCGGCCCCGGCTCTCGGGGCACATCTCGGCACGGCACAGCCCGGCCCCGGCCCTCCGGGAGCTGTCCCGGCCGGTCCCGGCTCTCGGGGAGGCCCCGCCCGGGCCTGGCGCAGCTTCCGGGGCAGCCGCGGCCGTTCCGGCCGGCAGCGCGGGCGCCATGGGGGTGACGAGACAGAAACACGCGAAGAAGATCATGGGCTTCTACAAGAACAACTTCCAGTTCCGCGAGCCCTTCCAGGTGCTGCTGGATGGCACCTTCTGCCAGGCCGCGCTTCGCAACAAGATCCAGATCCGGGAGCAGCTGCCCGGGTACCTGGGCGGCGCGGCGCAGCTCTGCACCACGCGGTACGCGGGGCGCTCCGGCTGCCGGCCCGGGCCAGGGAGGAGGGGGCGCTGGGGGCTGAGGGCAGCTTGCAGGAGGCCGGGAGCATCCCTCGGACATCCCAGCTGCCTTTCCGAAAGCGGCACGACCTGCGGGGCCGGCGGTAACCCCGCTGTGTGAGGGAGGGCCGGGTGCGTCTGCTTGGCGAGTGGATCCAGCAGGGCCGAGCTGGGATCTCCTGGGCCTGGAGGGAGTTCCTGCCTGGCCCGAGCTGCAGCCCGCCAGTGCTGGGCTGTTTCCGAGGCAGCTGCTCGCAAGGGAGGACAAGGATGGGCTAGACCAAGATAAAGCATGCACACTACATACTGAAGTTGCCTCCAAGTTGCCTTTGTTATTACTTCACTAGATATATTGCATATATTAAAATACAAAAAATACAGTTACATTGTATATCTGCAATAACAGAATAGCCAACTGCCCACTATGGAGGCAAGTAGTGAAAATACCGGGAAGAGGTATACCCTAGGCTCAAAAAACACACCGAACCATCTTGCACAGCATCTCCTAAACAGTATAAAGTATTGAATCATGTGGTTAGCTGTGAAAGGTTTGGGAATTGCTGTGATCCAAACTGTTCCTGTCATGTTGAAAAATCACTTCTTGCTTCTTTTGTCATCAATATCTGTTGGTCATTTTGACCAGCTTCCACTTAGGCCAGCTGAATGGACCTGTTTTCTCTGCTTTCAGAATACTTGAGTTGCTGATGGCACCTCAATGTTATGAAAAGAGCCTCACAGGGGAAATGAGCTGGCTTGGTGGGGTCTCACTAGTGTGGAGTAGGGTGGGAGCATCCCCTCCCTCACCTTGCTGCCTCTGCTGCTTTTGATGAAGCCCAGGACACAGCTGGCTTTCACATTGCCAGCTCATGTTGAGCTTCTTGTCCACCAACACACCTCCCAGTCACTCTTGCCAGGGCTGCTCTCAATCCATTCTCTTCCCAGTATTTGTGCTTGGGTTGCACTGATGCATATACAGGACCTTGCACTTGGCATTGTTGAACTTTATAAGGATTACACAAGCCCATCTGAAGCCTCTCCAGGCCCTTCTGGATGGCATTCCTTCTCTCCAGAGTGTCAACAACACCACACAGCTTGGTGTCTATGGCAAACTGCCTGAGGGTGCACTGGATCCCACTGTCCGTGTCACTGACAAAGATGTCAGATATCCCAGTACCAACCCCTGAGGAATGATACTTGTCACTGGTCTCCATTTGGACGTTGAGGTGTTTACTGCAGCTCTTCAAGTGCAACCCTGCAGTCAGTCCATATCCAGCAAGTGATACATCTGTCAAATCCATGCCTCCAGTGTAAAGACAAGGATGTTGTGTGGAACAGTGTGCAAAGCTTTGCCTGAGTCCAGTTGGGTGACATCTGTTGCCCTTCTTTATCCATCAGCACTGTAACTCTGACACAGAAGGCCACCATATTTTTCATGGTTTCCCCCTAGTGAAGCCATGTTGGCCTTGTTTTCATCACACCTTATATACCTTCCAGGAGGAAAGTATACTCCATAATCTTGCCAGGCACAGAGGAGAGACTGACTGGCCTGGTGTTCCCCAGATCTTTTATTTTCGTTTTTAAAAATAAATTACATTTTCAAGTTATTTATAATAAGTTAATTTTAAAATAAATTAAATTTTAAAAATAATTTTATTTGTTAGGTAGTGGTTCATATGCTCAGTGGGATTCAGGCATAAATTTTAGGACTCAGCATTGTCACTGATGTGAATTATTTTTAAATCATTTAATATATCTTAATTGTATTACTGGTTAACCATGTTTACAGCCAAGGAAACCTTGCTGATGTCTTCAGATGGGCTATTGCTTTCGGAGTTCTGGGTGCCATTTACAAATCATAGGCCCTGAACAACTTTGCATTGCTCATTCCTAATTAACTTACATCAGTCTTTTGCTGTTGTAAAAATATGAGTGGTTTTTTTTGTTTAAAAATTATTGTCTCTTTTGGTTTTCAGATGTGTCATAAAAGAGCTTGAATCACTGGGGAAAGCACTGTATGGAGCAAAATTAATTGCCCAGAGATTTCAAGTTCGAAACTGTTCTCACCATAAGAATCCTGTGAGTGGTTCAGCCTGTTTACTTGCCATGATTGAAGATGGCAACCCTCATCACTTCTTCATTGCTACACAGGTAAAAGCTCATGGGAAATGTAGCTCCATTTCATTTGAAGTGATGTTTTGATACCTAAGGATAAAGAAGCCTACAGTAGTCTTGATTATGAGGTTTTAAATAGTTGGTGGGAATTAATAATGTAAAGCTTTACTTGCTCTTTAATGTATTTCCTAATTACGAAGCAGGGAATCTTTTCTCCTACTTGAGCAACTAGACTTTTTTCACTTTGTAATGATACTGCTTAATTTAGGTGAAAGAGTATGAAAACATATTGACATGTAAAAAACAACTCGTGAATGTTAAATTGCATATTGCTTGTGTGTGCATCCCCTTCTCTGAACTGCTTGGCACAGTAGTCTGAAAAATGAAATTAAATCTTAACATACATATAACTTCAATTTTAAGACATTTTGAACTAAAGAATAAATAACTATAAAAATTAAAAAGGCATTTTTTTCTTGGGTTTGTTATTGGGACTGCATGTATAAATAATATGCAATAGATATAAAAGAGTTTATAGTAGAATTCTTTATAGTTATGTAAGTTACAGCAGTTTAAAAATTATTTATCACAGAAAAAATTATGTTACTTCTTGTGGAGTGGTCTGCATACAAGTGAATTGGGACTTTTTCCTCAAAAGATGTATTTATGCATATACATGCAGGAAAAGGGAAAATGTTGGTAAATTTTGCATTAGAAGTACAGCTAATCAGGAGAGAAATTGAAATTTAGTTCCTCTGAAAGGCACTGCCATGCATATCTGCTAGATTAAGTTTCTTATCTTTTTCATAATGTAATTTATCTTCATAGTTTTGTATTAAAAGTAGGTGCATTTGAATTGCAAATACTATTTCATCTGAAAATATTGACTGAAGTGTTTAATCTTGCAGGACCAGGAATTATCAAACAAAGTGAAAAGGAAGCCTGGCATTCCTCTCCTCTTTATTATTCAGAACACTATGGTGCTAGACAAACCTTCTCCTAAGTCTTTGGCATTTGTTCAAAAGTTGCAGACAAATCAGCTTGTTCCAGAGTACCAAAAACAAAGTATCGTGGAGCTTAAAGAAAAAGAAGGACTAGTAAAGCAAGAAGGTGAAAAGAGAAGAAAACGCAAAAGGGCAGGAGGCCCCAATCCTCTCAGCTGTCTGAAGAAGAAAAAGAAGAAAACACAGGAGGGTCAGGAGCCTTCTGCTGAAAAGAAGAAAAGAAGAAAAAGAAAACGAAATAGAGTTAAAGCAGAAACTATGCAGTCAGTGCAGAAGAATGAAGGAGAATAAACCCATCTTTGCAGACAACACAGAACTTGAACATTGTTTGAACTTTGGAGAAAAAAAGATAGATTAATATGCAGTCATATGAAATTGAGTCGTTAATATTAAAATTTATTTTTATGAGGTGGTTCTGCTTATTACTGTATCTCAGTATTTTCAGGTTATTGTCCTAATAATTTATTCTGTTGTTTAGTATTGGGTTTGTGACAAAATATTTAGGAAACCTCATATGTCATTATTCTCTCCAGCATCATGATTTGTGTTAAAATTCACATGCTATGTAGCAGTTTTTAAGAAATGCTTCTTGGCCTCCATATGGATTTCAGTGGGATATTAGACTTCTTTCTAAATCGAGGTTGCTAATCTTAATAAAACTATTTTTTACAGCTGGCCTGTTAGAGATTATGAAACTAATCTAATATAACACAATAACTTATTTGTCTATGTTTGAAGACAAAAGTTAACTCTTGCAAAGAGACCACATGCCCTCAAAAGCCCTGTCCAGCCTAAATATTTCTGTAAGTACTACATGAACCAATACTTCTCTTGGTGTTGATCTTTATTAAGAAAATCACGGAGGGTGTGCAATTGTGTTGTTATTCCTGACATTATAAGGGCATCTCTAGTCTTGCCTTGCCTATTTCATTTGTAGTTTATTCTTTTCTTTTTTAATAGCAAAAATGCAACTTAAAATTTCTGAATCAAAGCAATAGGTAGCACCTAATGCCATCACAGTATAGCAGAGCTGTGCAGGACTCCTGGAATACAAACAGCTGAGGGTGGTGGGACTCAGGCCCTGCTGACTGTTCTGCTGTTCTGTAAGGTTAGGAACAGATCAGAACTGGGTTGGAGGAGAGTTGTGGTTTAACCCCAGCTGGTAACTCAGTCCCATGCAGCCATTCACTCAACTTGCCCTGTGTTGGGATGGAGAGAATTGAAGGGTGAAGTGAGAGAACTCGTGGGTTAAGATAAGGACAGTTCAATAAGGAAAGTAAAAAGCATGCAAAACAAAGCAAAACACAAGCAGTGCAGAAAAAGGAATTCATTCACAGCTTCCCATGGACAGGCAGGTGTTCAGCCACCCCCAGGAAAGCAGAGCTCCATCAGGTGTAATGGTGACTTGGGAAGACAAACACCACTCCAAATGACTTCCCACCTTCTCTCCCAGCTTTATATGCTGAGCTTGCTGCCATATGCTGTGGAATATCTTGGGTCAGTTGGAATCAGCTGCCCTGCCTGTGTCCCTTCCCAGTTTCTTGTGTCTCCCTGCCTACTTGCTGGTGAGGTGGGAGGCAGAAAATGCCTTGACCCTGTGTAAGCACCACTCAGCAATAACACAAACATCTCAACACTTAGGCACAAATCCAAAAGCACAGCTACTGTGAAGAAAAGTAACTACCCCAGCCTAAAGCAGCACAAGGAGACAGTTCCTAAAATAGTTTCAAGTACCTGGTTTTCTATAATAGCTATTGCTTCCTATGCCTCCTTAAATGTTTGGTGGTATTAAGAGTCTGAATGACCGAAATGACAATAGAGACGTGTGTGGCATAGCACATGCCATGGCATCAGTGTGCTCTCACAGTGTTCCCAGTCATCTCTTGCCAGAGTTTTAAACTTTTCTCAATGCCTTTCTTCTTAACTGAGATGTTCTTAAAAGGAAAGCTTTTTTCTTCTTGCCTACATGGGTTTAAGCTGTGCGTTCTAAATTCTTTAGCCTGTGTATCATTCATTTGCAAAGTAGTTCTTGTGCACTGTCTGCACAAGTTCTTGAATGTCTGGAGTACATAGCTATGACACTTTCTGTTGGCTTTTCAAATTGTATAGACAGTTGTTTCACAGAGTTTGAGAAACTAGCTTGAGTGATGGGAGTTGGCCAGTGTTAGCAGACTGCAGGGTCACATCTGGCCAGGACAGGAGGTGCATGGTGTGCTCTGTGCTCGTGGCACGGGACATTGCTGCAGCCCCAGCCCAGGCCTTCCTCACACTACAGCTGCTAGGAGCAGGCTGTGTCTGCATTGTTCTGTATGAGACCATAAGCATCTTTGGAACAGACTGAAGAGACAGAAGCAGGGAAGAAGGGTGCTGTAGTCAAGATAAAAGCTTTAATTGAAATTTAAAACAGTCGCACTCATTATGGTGTTGTTCCCACATTGATTGCTAAAGTGAGTCCTGAGGAGAAATTTAGTAACTCCTAGAAATACGTTAATACAGCATATTTGTTTGACATCTTTCTCAAGCTGTCATAGTCCGTATACCTTCACTTCTTTGGGCACAGTCCCATATTAATGTAGCTTTGCTTCCCATTCCTCCATAAATATTGCTTGTATTTCTTCCTCCTCCCGAAACCCACTTACAGATATCACTGCTGCAAGTAAAACTTGGAGCAGACAGCAGAGTTGTTTTGCCGTCAAAATCTCATTCTGAATTAAAAGTATATTAACTTTACTAAAACATAAAGCGGAAAACACCCTAATGATTTACAGCAGTCCCTTTCAGTGTCACTGAAACACAAAGCTTAAATTCACCTTTTTTTAAAGACCGTGAACAGACACAAACACAATTTCTGTAAAAAAAAAAGAGAATATTTTAACAGTCATCTAATGACTCCCACCTTAAGGAATTTAAAACAGCATGTATCTGTTTCCTTAGCATTTGAACACAAACTGACTCATGGTGCTGCCATTGGGAAGAACTGGAATACAAAGGGAGTGAGCTCCTCAGAGAAAAGCTGAAATTTCTCTGCTGCACACATGCATGTCTGTGAGCTTTGGGAGAGAGCTCCCACCCAGGCAACAAGCACAGGCAATCAGACTATATGTTTTACTGCTTTGAAATAGAAAGAGAAGCCCGCCTAGTTTCCAAGTGCAGCAGAGTGGCTGTGTTTACCCCGTTAAACCTGTGACCCTGGGAGCAGCGGGTCGCACCGAGCGCGGCCGGCCCTGCCCGGCTCACGGCGCTGTCAGCGCTCCCTGCGGGGGCTCTCGGGCTGCGCTGCTCTGCCTGCCAGGTTCAGCGAGGTTTAGCTGGCCCAGGCTGTGAACCTTGGCAAGTGCCTCTAGGAATTCAGCAGTGTGAATCTCTAGGAGCATCCCTAGGCCTGTGAGAAACACCGCTGTGGGAGCACCCACAGAGCCAACTTTGCTGCCATAGGTGTTCAGTCCATGCACTGCCCCAAAAGCCACTGCCTTATTTATCGATAAAAAGGCTGGAGTTGTGGCCACAACTCTGCTACAGACAGGGTTCCCAATATAACTGTTCTCATGAAGTTTAGGATTGTTTTGCTCCAGGGTGTTAGAGAGACTGGCTTCAGTTTTGAAACTACAGAAGCCAGAGGTAAATCAAAAGGAGCTTGATCAAAAACTTCTTTGGGGCTATTGATTTCCTCTTTTCTCAGACAGTATAAAAATATACCCCAAATCCTAGGAGCAGCTCACTAAGTCTTTTTTATTTTTTCTTTAAAAAGACAGGGGAAATAACCAGTGTTATACAATACAATGTATGCTACATGTGCAGAGTAATAGAGGAAGAAAACAATAATACATCAGCCACAGTCTGCAGGGCATTAATGTTGAATTTAGGATGGAGTCTCATCTACAAGCAGCAGAAGATATTTACCTAGACTGCCTGCCAATTCAATTGGCTGGATTTATATGTTAGCGTGATCTGGTACTGCACAATAAATCACTCCCTGGGCATCTGTTAATGACACTAAATAGATGAGTTAATTAGAAGCTTCTGGAACCTGGGATGTTTATGAATCATTAAAGTAAATATGAATATGGTATGACTTGAGGAATAAATACATTCTGGTGGTGAAAGGAAAATAGGATGTCCAGATTAGTCCTGCTCATTTGTTTTCAGCTACACTGATACAGTGTGAATGACTTCTCCATCAGCTTTATAGTGCTCCTGGAGTTTCTTGAACATGTTCTGTCAGATACAAGATGAAGAACATGGCAACAATACCATTATTTATATTCACTGCATCTTTCATATAGAAGTTTCACAAACAGCTACTGTATATTTCATACCTCTGTGTGGGCGTAATATCTCACACAGGGAGCAGCCAGAGATACGGGAATGAACAAATAAGAGCCCCAGCAGGTGTTATCATTTACAATTTAAGGGAGAAAAATTGCAGTGTTTCGAGAGAGAATGACAGAAAGCAAAAGTTTTTGTACCCAGAGAGTCGGGAGTGAGAGAGAGACTGCACCTTGTGATTTAGGAATGGCCTAACTAATGCCAGGAAAGGGGCTTGTGATGTATTTCTGGTAATTATTATGTCTGTGCACTCCAAGCCCCAGATTTGTCTCAGGGAGCTCAGCTGTCTGCACACAGAGGCAGTCATTTTGTAGAAGTTGCTACAGCTTGTTATAGAAGAGACAGGCTGGGCTCCCTCGGGGCGACTTTGTTTTCTGATTTCTTCTCCTGTGATTGAGAGGGAGAGCATGCAGCTGTGCTTTGTGTATGGATACAGGGAAACAACGAAGCTGTTAACAAGGGTCCAATTAAAAACAACCCAGAGCTGAGAGCTGGAAGGAAGAAAAAAGACAATATATTAGTCACTGAGATTTAAACAAACCAAGGAAGAGAGAAAAAATATATACATGACGGTTTCACAGTGTTAACTGGAGGAAAGAATTGGTCAGCAGTGAAAGGTGAACCAGAAATGGCTCAGCAGTCAAGAAGAGTAGGGAACACAATAATAAACCACAAACAAGTTTTTTTAAAAAATCTTTCTAATTACCTTAAGAAAATCTCATTACCCTTTGTGGCTCAGTTTCTGCCTTTTCAAAACAGCAAGCTGAACTGGCTAAACTGCTCACAGACCCTGTGCTGATGGCCCAAGAATTCCTGCAGAATGTCAGTCTCATGCCACCAAACACTTTGTGTCTTTATGGTTTTTCAATATCACTCACTTGGCAGCACTGCAGGTTTGCAGCCAAATCATTCTGCTGTAGAGTTTGCCTGACCTTGCACGTGGCTCACTGCCCAGCATGCAGATATTACATCCAGGAGCAACCCTACTCATGCCATTCCTGATAGGGTTAATTGCTCCTGAGGGTACTCACAGCAATACTCTGAGATAGCCAGCCAGCAGTTCTGGCATAGTATGGGTTCTTTTTA